CATGTGGGCTAATCTCTTCTTGTTTCGTCTAAAAAGCAAGAGAGGTTGACATTGGCCTTGAGAGGGAGCTTGCAGAAGGTATGGAGCGCAAGATGGCAGGTCACTGCAGACCTGCTTTGCAGGGTGTTCCAGTCCCCGGCTGCCCAGTGGGAAGCGGCTGCCCCCGACCTCCCCATCCCCAGCTCCAGAGCAGCCCCTCACCAGCCCCACTCCCCCTCGCCCGCTGTTTTCCCAGGCTGGTGAGTCTGGACGCAGCCCCGGGGTCAGCGCCAAGGCGGGGCGCAGTCTCCCTGAGCTCACGCAAGGGCCCTGGCCTGAGGATGGAGTAAACAGACTCTCCTTAAAGGTCACTTCTTCAGGCTCTGGCTCCAGCAGCCGGAGGAAGCTGCAATCATTTTTCAGGGCTGTAAATGCCAGAAGAAAAACGCACTGACTCACAGCTTTCCTCTGTGCCCCTGGTCAGCGAGCGCCTCTCACAAGGCATTTCCTTGCCAAATACAGCTTCTCCCCCCACCGGCCTGAACCCGGAATAGACCTCAAGTAACCTTTGCTTAAGGGTCTTGGGATGCAAGCTTCTAAACTTAGTTTGCAAGCCATGGTGGTTCCCAGCTAGTGGACTTTACATGAAAAACTTTGGGCCCAGGGTGGCATTTTTACATTAAAAAGGATCACAGTGGGCACTTTTGTTTTGTTTCTAGTTTCGTTTTGTTTTGTTTTTTGGTTTTTTTCAAGGTTTTTTTGGCTGATTGCTGTTTGGTTTGGTTTGGTTTGAAACAACATGAAAGATTTTATTTCGATGGCCCCACCTTCCTCAGATTAGGAGCCCATAGCTTAACCTGTTACTTGTACATCCTGAGGACAGACAAATTGTGTGTCCACTGAGATGAAATTTAGGGATTACTTTCAGTGAGGCTGAGCAGTGTCCTGTCCAACTAAACGTATCCTTCCCACTGTCCAGTTCACAAGGATGAATATGCCCCTTTTAAAAAATGCATGATTACTCCTGGCAAAGTACAACTGTTTAATTCATTGGACTAATTCATACTAAAGTGGGGTTGACTGAGGCTAGACCTGAGGACTAATCTGATCTCTTAAAACAGCTCCCAGTCAGGGGAAAGATAGGAGTGAGTACTTTGGACTAATCTGGGGTCTCTGTTGAGTTAGACTTTTTTTCCATATGGGATGTGTGAGCCAGAAGCCGACGGGCAGGAGTCATGGGACACTTTTGAGGCTGGGCTGGCCTCCCCTCTGGGGAGCCCCAGCCGCCAGCCAGTGCACTCTGCACAAAGCCCAAACTCAGCGAGGGTCTGCGGCGAGGCTAGTTCTCTTGGGCAGCTGAAGATGGTGTCTGTAGCAGAAGTCTTCAAAAATCTGTAGTTACATTTTCTAAGTTAGATTTCAAAGCAGCTTGACGTCTCCTTTGTGAGCCTAAGTGGTGCCATTTCCAAGTGTTTGAGAAACAGCACAACTCAGCCACTCGCCCTGCTGCTTTATAGCTGTGTGACCATCCACGGGTTCCTTCACCTTTGTGTCTCAGTGACCTCGACTGGAACAAAGATGAATGTAGCCTAACATGCATCCAGCATTGTTGGAGGCTTGAGACCCTTGCTCCCTGAAGGGCTTACTTAGTGCCCTTTGTACTACGGCAGGGCTATTCCAGACGTCCTGTCTTTTAAGGGTTAACAAAGCAGCGCTGGGAAGGCAGCAGACCATCTCGGCGGCGGCGGCGGCGGCGCGGAGCTCCCCAGCGAAGGGAGTGTTCAAACACCAGATTCAGGGTGACTTGTTTTGAGAGAAACAGTTGGGCTGATTCAAGTATTCGATGGATGGACAGAGGTGTGGAGGGGGTGGGGCATGACCATTAAAGACCTTTGCATCATGAAGATCTAGGGCCAAACAGCTGCCCCAGTTCACAGGGGCATAAACGACAGAGGGAAACAGGCGGAAGAGTGACAGTGAGCTGCTCCTTTGTGCCTCCAGTATTGGCACATGGGAAGGACCGGCGGCGCCCAGCGTGAGGCAGGAACGGAAGGGGACCCAGCAGTAGCTGGTTTGTGGAAGGAAAATCGGCAATCCCTTGTTTGTGGATGGCTTGCTCTGACACATCACTATTTTGAATACCAAAGCTTTATATTCCAGGAATTGGAATATAGAAATATATTCTATGAATATATTCAGGAATATATTCCAGGAATTGACCCCAGGAGATACTTAGGCGGATCCTCAGTGCAAAGGATGTTCATTGCAGCGTGGTTTATAACACGTAATAGCAAAACTTGGGAAAAGTCTGAATGCCACTGTTGGAGTTTGTGGGACACGACAGGAGTATGTGTAGATGATGTGGATCTGTATTTACTGACATGAAAATACATCCGGGCCCTACTGTGGAGCTAACAAGAGAAACAAGTCTACAGCAGCACGTGGGGTACCATGCCACCTTTGTAAACTAGTATACGTTGATCTCTCTGGGTATAATTTGCATAGACAAACGTTTAAGGAAATTTTACCAAAATATTATTTCTGCATGATGAGGTTTTAGACAGACAGTCATTACTTTTTCTTTAAATTTCGATGCTTTTTTGGGCAATTTATAATAAGAAACTTTTATAAGAGCTTTAGAGGACTATCTATGCCCTAATTTTGAAAATAAAAATGGAATAACTCACTGAGCCCTGCAGAAACTCTCGAAGCTATCCCGCCTGGCCTGGTCCATCTAATAAGATGACATTCCAGGACAGGGAGCTTGCGGTGACAGTGGAAGACAGTTGACGGATGGCAGAGCCCTCCAGCCCATCTGGGCTGATGGGCTGATAACCCCTCACACGGCCTGGCTCACTCTGGACCACAGGGCTGGCTGCAGACCCCGCAGTCCCCAGCCTCCCTCCGAAGTAAACAGGAAGCAGAACCCGCGCTGGGAGCTGGCAGGGGACCTGGCTTCCCTGCCGTGAGCAGAGCGGAGCAGATCTGGGTCCCCAGCGCTCGCTCGCAGCACAGCCTGAAATTCCCAGGAAGCAGGCGGCAGGCTTGGACGCTGGCGGTGGTGGGGGCGTGAGTCGTGAACTAAGCTCCTGAGCCTCTCCCGACAGGGAGGGACCGCGGGGAACAGTCAGATGGAGACAGACAGAGGGGGACACGAGGGGACAGTCGAACAGAGGAACAGGGACAGAGAGAGACAGAGACCGACGAAGGGAGAAAAAGGGGGTCAGACCCACTTTACGGCACGGTCAATTCAGGAAATGAGGATGCGGGTGGGGATATCGAAAGGGAGAACCCTGCACTCTGCAGAGTTGCCCCCTCGGCGTGGATGCCGGTTGCGATCACTCACGGCCACCCCAGATGACTACTGCCACCGAGGAAGCCTGGGGTCCTTATCCCAGGGTCCGCCTGGCTGGGCTCAGGCTGAACGCTGGGAAAACAAAATCCCATTTGTTCTGCTTACCATGTGGGATTTCCAAGGTGATGAATGAAGTACAGCCTGGATGTAAAATGATTAAAAATCATACAGTGCTGCACTGGTGCACAGCATCCCGTTTATATTCTAGAATTACTTTCAGTAAATTAAACCAAATTGCAGGTCACTCTGAGCTGAAGAAGAAAAACAAAAAACTCACAGAAATTACCTGTCCAAAAATGTTCTAAAAAACCTCACAAAAGCATCCCCTTTGTGAGGTTCAGTTTGTTTTCCGTTCATTCATTCACAATTATTCATGAATTTCTTCCTGCGTTCCGGACTGTCCTATCCCAGGGGACAGTGTGGTGAACAAAAGACAGAAACCTTTGCCTCCCCAGGGTTCATTTCTGGCGGGAAACAGAACAAACTTGCAGGAAATGTGGCCCCACACAGCCACAGCAGCCTGGGGGGTGATCAGTACTGAAGGAGTGGCCGTCAGGGGATGGTCCTCATTCCAGGACAGGGGACACAACGGATGCTGGTGAAAACCCAAGCTGAAGTGGACCCAAGGCCTGGAACTGAGCCCCTAACGTCAAGCGTCCGCGTCCACGCTGTGCGTGTGCACACACAGATGCCCTCCGACCCCCCGGGGTCCTGACTGCAGAGGACAGCCCAGCTCCAGCGCCCACAGGTAGCTCCTCAGCTGGTGCGTTTCCAAGGAGAGCAGCTCTTGAAGCTGTTCTGTGACAAAAGACACGAAAACATCTACGTGTTACAAGAACACCTGAAAGCAGGATTCATCTGAGTAGGGGTTTTGCAGGGCTTTTCATATCATCATCATTTTTGCCAGGCTGTTGTTTGCGCAATACTTTGTAAAGATTTTAAACTGAGAGTTTGGGAATAGCCTTTCTCCCTACAACGATGACAATAAAAGCCAGCTGACTGTGAGCCAGGGACAATTCTCAGTGCTTGGCATTTATTAATTCATATTATCTTCACAACCATTATTGTCCTCATTTTACAGATGAGAAAATCAACAGAGGCACACAGAGAGGTTAAGTAACTTGCCCAAGGTCACAGAGTGGGCAAGGGGCAGAACTGGGATTTGAACCCAGGCCTATGGGCTCCATCATCTTGTGTTCACCTTTACCCACTGTGGGTGAGTCACTGGTACATGAAGCCGGCTCTGTGTCTGGCTCTGCTGGGTCATCCGTGTTCTCACCTCTAATTAGCCCACATTTTGGGGGGCTAAGTCTCAGCCCCACCCCCAGTCTACTAGTGAAGGGGACACCAAGTGACCTATCCAAGACCACAGACCCAGTGAGTGGAGGGGCCGGGGTCACCCCAGGTCTGTGCGACACAGTGACTGTGTCTTTGCAAAGAAAAATGAAACACAGAGAACACAGAACACAGACAAACAAAATAGCATCACTATGTTAAATAATTGTGATGTTGATTACATGAGTCTTTGAGGCCTTGGAGAGGATAAACTTTGGGGGAGAAAAACCTACCTAAAAAAGCCCCCCAAATCCAATTTAGATTTTCTCCCAAGAAGAAGCAATTTCAGGAGCTTACATGCAAAGTCTGTGGCATGCTAGAAGTCATGAACGCAGAGACTGTTTCCAGGGAGCCTTTCCCCTTGTCTGCAGCGTTCCTGGGAGGGAATTAATCAGGGAGTGTTTACTGCACGCCCTGGAGCTACTCTGAGAATGTGTCCCAGGCCAGCAGCGCGGGGTGAACGGCGCTGCCCCGTCCTCTCGCTGCATGTCCTGCTTAAAGCGCAGCAAGTGAAACTGGTTTCTGTGGGGCCAGACCGCTTTGCTTTCCCTCTCCCTGCGCTGTGCCAGCGCCTCTGGATCGCATTAAGCTGCATAAATAACAAGGCTGTTGTCAGATTCCCCGGTGAGGCGAGGGCAGAGGGGGAGCCCCGGGGCATGACCTCCGTGTTTCTCAGCGGGACTGCCAGCGCCTCCGCGGCCGCGCCAGGGCTGGGCCGGGGGAGGGTCTGCGCGGCGCTCGCGGGGCGGCCGGACCTGCGGCGGTTCCCGTGCGGGAAGCCACGCGAGATTCCCGCCGCCGCCGCCGCGGGCCGCGAGCCTCCCGGCCGCGCACCTGGGCGCCGAGCTGCGCGGTGCTCTGCGCATGCGCCTCCGGGTCCGCAGCCGTTGAAAGGGGCGTGCGTGGCGGCGGCACCTGGGCAGAAGCGTGAGTCTCCCTGGGACCCAGGGACGCAGGGAAGCCGGCGCCCCCTCGTCCCCGCCGTCCTGCTTTGGGCAGCCGCTTCCAGGTACACAAAAGCCTGCTGCCTGTGAGAAGGCAGGGTCGGGGCTCAGCTTCCGGCTACCTGGCCTAACCCACCTCGGCACCCTGCTCCCTCGGGCGGAGGGCCACGCTCACTCGCTCAGCGTGAGGTGGGTGCTTGTCCAGGTTGGCTGTTCCTCCAGGTTCTGCCCCCCCTTGGTGGGGGCACTGGGAACTGCTCTGCCAATGAACGATACCCCAACTTGTTTCTCCAGTTTTTAAGTGCAATATGTTAGTGGTTTTAAAAAAAAGGAAGGAAGGAAAAGGCGTGGGGGCGAAGGGAAAGGAGATGGAACTGCTGACCTACTACGTGCTGGGCACGAGCTGCACCTTTCAAAACTCGATGCCCACAACCCTCCTGGTGACAGGGTTATAGGCCCATTTCATGGATGAGCAAACTGAGGTTCAGGGGGATTTGTAATTTGTCTTGCTCACACCCACACGCAGCGTGGGATCCAGCCGGGATTCAACCTGGAAGTTCTAGTGAGAGGAGGTCCCAGAATGAGAAGCATCCCCTTATCACCTTTCTTGGGGATTGCAATGAGATCCTTCCTTCTCCACTGCGTCATTCCTCGACCACTTTAGTCCTGCTCCGTTCCCTCTTTGCATCTGCAAGGCACGGCCTTGCCTGTTTTAGCAAGGAGATGATTTCAGGGTTCCTCCTCCATGGAAAGCCCTTCTTATTCTTGTAATTATTCGCTAATAATTTAATACCATCCCAAGGAACAGGGCAATGTGGTAGAGAGAACTTTGAGGAATGGGACCAGGTCTTTCCTCATGCCCAAGATGGCAGAGCCTCTTCAGCATCCGATGACCTCACCCATGGATTAACAAGGAGCTTCTCCTGCAGTCCCAGGTCTCACTTGGGCTTTGCCTGTGTGACCTCATTCAATCCTCACAGCAACCGTAGGCCCATTTTCCAGACAAAGAAACTGAGTGCAGGTGTACCAGCCAGGTGCTTCAGCAGCCTGGACCTGGGAGGACGACTCAAGAGTCACGGACACATTCCACTTGATGGTGTTCCGGAAGAGTTTCCGGGACATAAGTTCAAACAGAGCCCCAGCCAGGGATGCTCTGACGGCAGGCTCTCCACCCCACCATCCTGTCCGGTTGTATTGGGTGTTCTTGTTCTCTGAGAACCTAACGTATCTCTCTGCTCCTTGTCTGCTTCTCCCTCCAGATGACGAGACCTCTGTCCTTGGTGTCCATCGTTATGTCCTTGGAGTGTGGGCTGGTGACTCCCATAGCAGGTGCTCATTAAACATGGCTGGACAGTGGAGGGAGATGGACAGGGCAGCAGTGCCGAGTTCAAAGGCTTGGCTCACACCTGATTCTCCCAGGGAGGGCTCCCTGAGCCCCAGGACTGCAACCTCCCCCATTCTGTGGAGACGGCCCGGGGCTGCCCTCCGTCTGGCTCTGATCTGCGGAACAGCAACCTTGACGGGGGCTTCAAAGCACGTCTGCCAGTAGATCAAGGCTTCTCTCAGCCATGACAGCCCCCATCGCTCACCTCCCCAAATAAACCTGCATAATGAAGACAGATGGCCCTGGTCAGCACTGGCCGTGCTGGGAGCCGAGCAGTGCCTGCAGATGGGGCCGTGGCGGCGTGAGGCCACACACCCCACCCTGGAGCAGTGGTTTGGGGTGTTACCAGGATGGAGACTAGCTGCACCCCCTCCATCACCCTAGGGGGCAACATCTCTATTTGATAAGCCCGGTGAGTCTAAGGAGATGGGCCCCTTCCCAGACTCCTCATTAAGGAAGCACCCGGGGACTTGGGAGCCCCACCCCGGACATGGAGGAATGGCAGGTGGTGGGGGTGGGTGAAAGGCGGTGAGCCGGGGAGGAGCAGCAGACCCTGAACCCCGTTGGCTCACGAGCCTCTCATGTTCACAGGAGAGGGGGTGGCTTCATTGGAGGGGGTGGCACAGATGTCAGCTCACACCCAGGGCCTCCACTGGTGAGACTTTCTGGAGGGAGGCAGCTTCCAGCTGTCTCGGGGCAGGAAAGGCATGGCAGGCAGGCACTCAGCGAGGCCCACCCGGGTCTTGTGCAGAGTCTGGGGAGGGTGCAGGCCGCTAGCTGGAGGGAACCGATGGGAGTGCGAGTCCCAGGGGGGTGAGCGCTGGGCCCCAGGAGGCAGCGCCCAGACACCCTGCACACCAACTGCAGTGACCACCCCAGCTCACAGACGGGGAAACTGAGGCCCGAAGGGGCGCAGCCCACAGAGTGAGACCCCGAGGCACATGCACGCCTGGTTAGAGGGGCCCCACCGGGTGTCTAGACGCTTCTCCCAGCCTCCTGGGGCACAGAGGAAACGCGATGAGGCGAGGCCGGCCTGCGTGCGTTGTGTGTGTGGGGGGGCAGGCGGGCAGGCGATGCCTGTGTGGTCCGAGGGGGCTTTGTGTGTGTGGTCCGCCACCAGCCCAGCGCTGATCATCTGTCCAAAGGCTGCTAACTGCCTGCCCGGTGACCAGTCTGTTTACTTTAGTCCTGTCTGCACCAACTGAACTCAGAGAGCTGTCTCTCTCCAGCTGGACCTCCTCAGGGGGAGAAGGAAGGCGGGAGAGGGAGGGAGAGATGGGAGAGGGAAGGAGAGGGAGCCCCGGGAAGGGAGGGGAGGGAGAGGTGGGGGACGGAGAGAGGAGAAGAGGATTTGGAAGAAAGTGACGACACGTGAAGCTCTGCACCGGGTAAGCTGTACAGGCGGTTTCCAAGAAATCCAGATGACCACCGAGGGGCCATTTCTCGTCCAGCCTTTCTCTGGCACCTTCCAGCCTCGGCCCCTCCCTGCTCCCCGCCCCATCCCCACACACGTTTGCTCAGTTGGACTGGGGCGATGAGTCACCCCTACCGAGCGTGGCTGGAGTTTGGCCTGTGTTCCTCCTCGCTCACACGGAAAGATGTCCCGAGGGGACGTGCGGTGCGCGTGTCTGCAAACCTGGGTGCAGGGAAGGCTGGCTGGGTGGGAGGTGTGGGCGAGTGTGGGCAGGGCCTGCGCCTGGTGTCCGTCTGTCCATCCCGTGCAGGGATTTCAGCCTTTGCGGGGTTTCCTGAGGGTGGGATGAGGGGGTGTCCTCTGGAGGGAAACCTCCCACGGAAATACATCTCGGAGGTGAGCTTATGACCTGCGGCCATGTGTGATTTCATTGCTTCCGCGAACGTGTTCAGATGATGTCCCCTCTCAGAATCTTGGTACTCAGCTTCAGTTTACATTTACCCCAACTTTACGTTTTCGATTGAGGATTTACTCCTCTTCAGGATGTTTCATATAAATCGTCTCAGTATCATACGCCATCAAGAGGGATGGAAATGAGAGAGACAGAGAGACGGTTCTAGAAGGTCTGGTTTCAATGGATGTCAGACTGGCACTTTTGTATTGAGGTGAGATCTGCAGTCTGTAAGAAAATGATCAGATGTCATGCATAGAGAGGTTTCATTCTCCTGAGCTCTTTTTTGAACCGAAAGGCATCTTGGCAGTTCGTTAGCTAACCCCCACTGGTTTGCCGTCCCTTCCTGTGGTTTTACACAAAAGCAGAGCCGCCGCCCCCCCCCCCCGCCTCCGGACAGACCAGGCGCCTGACTACATCGCTGGTTCCGAACCAGGTGGATTACAAACGCACAGCCTGGAGGTGAACAGGCGGTCTCATGGGGCGGCTTGTTTCCCAAAAGAGCAGCAGACTCCTTTTTTGACCCTGAGGTAAAACCCACGTAAGAGAACATTGAAGTGAACAATTCAGCTGCATTTAGCTCCTTCACAATGTCGTAACAATCACCGCCTCTGTCTAGTTCCAAAATGTTTTTATATTTCATTCTTTGCAAAAGAACACCCCACAGCCACTAAGCAGTTTCGCTCCAGCCCCCGCCGGCACCTGTAATCTGCTTCCTGTCTACAGATTTACCTGGAAAATCAGGCATTTCTTACTCACCAAAAGTACTGAATGAAAATAGCTTAGTTGTTGTATTAATATTATGAAAAATCACATACTCAGGTAGAAATATCAGTCATTACCAAAAATATAAAAAAGACAGTTGAAAAATGCCCCCTCCCAATTTCTAACTCTAAATGACTAAAGGCAGCATTTGGTGGCCCCCAGCCTTCCCTGCTCCAGCTTCTCTCCGTATAAACATTGCCATCACCCTTCCTTTTGAAAGCTAGTGGAATCATATTGGACAGCTAGTTTGGAACCTGATTTTTTAACCTAACAATGTATGTCAGGGACATATTTTCATGTCAGCACACACAGCTCTCCCTGAGCGTTTTCATCTGCCCCGGCTCCTTCCTGCAGACCCGCAGTTGCTTTAAGCCACCCCCTGGCTGGGTGACTAGGTGCTAGCATCTAGTTTTCATTCAAAAGGACTGACTTTCTGGGCTGTTAATTGATTGGATTTAGGGGCTTGCTCTCTGGCGGGAGGGATTGAGGAAGGATTTAAGAATTCTGGGGAGGAATTCAGGACTTCCTGACACCACCAGTGAGACCCCAGAGACCTGCAGGCACACCCGCGCGGTGCAGCCCCAGCAGAGATGACCTGGTGTTGTTAGAAGGAGTTGTCCAAGGACGGGTGACCTGCCAGCAAGTCCACCTAAGGAGGAGGCACATCCGGGCTGGCCGTGCGTGCCCAGCATGGGAGCAAGTTGTGCAGCGGTCAGGTGTGGTGATGGTTCTGGGAAGAGAGCAGCATTGAGGGTGAGGGAGGAAGCATCCAGGCTGGCATCGCTTCTGGGATGCTGGCCTGGAGGTGCCAGCTGGCTCGTGCCTGTGTGTGTGTGTGTGTGTGTGAGAGAGAGCGAGAGAGAGCGAGAGAGCGAGAGAGCGAGAGAGAGAGAGAGAGAGAGAGAGAGAGAGAGAGAGAGAGAGAGAGGAGAGAGAGAGAGAGAGGAGACGACGACGAGAAGAAGAAGAAGTAACGTAACCGTTAAGGAGGTTACGTAGTTACGTAACTAACT